TGGAAGGGGGATGTACATAGTTTGGAGTCAAAAAAGAAGGAAAAGGAAAAAAGGAAGGGATTGAATCCAAAGAATAAAAGAATGAAAAAATGTCCCTTCTGGACATATTTACAGGAGCTAAGGGCTCCATGACTAGCCATAACAGCTAGCAGAGGAGCGAGAGATGGATGGAGCACCAAGCGATGGAAAATAGGATCTCAACTACAGTTAAATGAACCAAAGAGGTCCACTGCCAGTGGGAGATGCACCATTCTTCAATTGAGCTTGAAGAGAGGCCATGCCTCTATAAAGGGCGGCCAAAAACAAAGAACATAAATTCAAAGGCCTGCCACATGTCAATTCGTGCGCTATAGGTAAATAACTCAGGGAGGGCTTTATGCTTGGCACGCACAAAACATATTTACAAAGCCAAACGAAAATGAAGGCCACTCGCTCAGTATGGGAAGGCTCAGCGCTCGAATGATTGTGAAGGGTCTGCAGGCTTGAATAAGAATCGATGTAGTTTTTACCAAACTTTGGGGCACCACCAGAAACCAAGATACCAGGAAAAATGGTATCGCCCAAAGATGGTAGATTCACCAGAGCCCCAACATCCCTTAAGGTAATAGACATGGGGCCAAGAGGGAAAATAAAGGTGTTATACTCAGGGGACCAAAAACTCAAAGCAATCGAAAAGAGTGCTGAATCAAAAGTAGGGAGGCGAATAGAGATTTCTAACAAATCAGAAATCCTAGCGCTATCAAAAAGTGCCTTAGTAGGACCATGACCCACAAGGCGAGCATGCCACCTACGGAAAGCTACATCAGATTTAGGCCAAGTGCGAATACCTCTTTCGCGAAGTGGCCCTAGCGGTAGAGAGTTCAGAAATGGAGGGCCCTGAGTGCAAGGAAACAGCTGACCCACCGCCGCCTGTTCAACTGCCTCTGCATTGTTGAAGAAAGGACCCAAGTAGAACTCATTACGTTCAACGTCGGCGAGTGCGAGAAAACTTAGAGTTATGTATGGGCGACTCAGAAGTTTCTGAAAGTCATCAAAACTAAAGGAGTCGCCAGCTTGAGATTGTGAAGCAGCCATTTGAGAAGGAACGAAATTTTTCAGGGTTACGTAGCAGGGAAGCAAGAGATGAACAGTAAATCGCGAGAGAGACGCAAAAAATTTGAGGCGTGGTTTAATGGTGCAGTGAAATGGCGTGTTTGGGGTTTATAAGGGTTTGCAAAACGACGCACCTTTTCAAGTTATAGAAGAAAACAATGATTGAAATTCTTGAGAATTTCGAATGTTGCTGGAAACACAAAATGAATATGGCAAAATTTAATAATTATTATTAATTCTGTCATATTGGGGGGTAATTGTTGACACATAAAAATTCAGCCCAAATCGAACAGCCCAAGGAGTGAAGCCCAATTGGAGGATCCCCAAATCAGATAGCCCAAAGAACGAAGCCCAATCGAACAAATCAAGATGAAGGCCCAAATAGGGAGGCCCAAGAACGCGGTAACGCCATCGCCCAAGTTTGCAAGTTGCCCAGAATCTGAGCGAATGGAGTGCCATACAGTCGCCCAGAGCTGTTACTCTATTCTCGCCCAAACCTTCAAGTCGCCTAAGGTCTTAACAAAAATAAAGCGTCGTGGTTATCAAGAAGTGCAGTTATCAAAGCAGTTGTTAAAGCAGCCCTATCACGTTCCACGATTCAAGGAATTCAATCGAAAGCGGTTGAACGATGAAGAGTAATGGCAGCAGTTAAAAAAGGCAATTTTCATGACAAGTTGGCCATTATGAGGAAAGTGGGCAGTTATAGGACGATCAAGCGGTTTTAGGGCGGTTGATCACAAAGAGATCGTCTGTGAAGTATAAAAGGGAGAAGAAAACATAGAGCAAAAGACCGAATCCAAAACTCTCGAATAGAGAACATGTAATTTTCATTTTCTTAGTTTTTAGACTTAAACACTTTTCTTTCAGTAACTCGTGTGCTTGCGCCCCTTAGAGGCACGTTGTTTTTCATTCCCAATTGTAAAGTCATCGCCAATAAAAGAACACCCCTTTTTGGGACTTTGTCTCAAGAGGTTTTGTCCCTTACACAATCGTCTGATCCTTTTTAATTGTTAACGAATAACCCGCCCGAAACAGGAGGTATACGTGGATGACATGTTGGTAAAGAGTTTGGAGGCTGAGGACCACACAGCGCACCTCATCAGCACCTTTCAAATCTTGAGAAGATACAGGATGAGACTCAACCCCCTCAAGTGTGCCTTTGGAATGGCCTCCGGCAAATTCTTAGGATACATGGTCAATCAACATGGAATTGAAGCCAACCCTGAGAAGATTGAGGCCCTATACAAGATGAGGTTCCCCCAAAAGCCAAAGAAGGTACAAAGTTTAATTGGGCGGTTGGCCGCACTTAACTGCTTTGTTTCCAAAGTTACAGATAAATGCCTCCTATTTTTTAAAGTGCTAAAAGCTGGGAAGAAGTTCCAATGGAACGAGGAATGTAAAGAGGTCTTCCAAGGCCTGAAAAGGCACCCGGGGCAGGCCCCCCTCCTCTCCAAATCGAAGCCCAGTGAGATCCTGTAGTTATACCTGGCCGTCTCCAATGAGGCCATCAGTTCGGTTCTAACCCGAGAAGAGGGAACTACCCAACTTCCCGTTTACTATACAAGTAAAACACTCATATCGTCGAAAACTCGTTACCCCGATATGGAGAAGCTCGCTTTGGCCTTGATCACGGCCTCCAGGAAATTGAGACCTTACTTCCAAACTCACACCATCCATGTGCTGACAAACTTTCTCCTAACGTAAGTGCTCCAAAAGCCCGATGCCTCAGGAAGATTATTGAAGTGGGACTAAGAACGCAGTAAAAGGAGAATTTTCTGTGAAAAATACCTACTGAAAACTACTCGAACAGAAAGTACCGGAACAGCAGTGAACGGATAGCCTCAACGTCGGAATGTTTAAGTTCTAAGAGAAGAAATCAGATTGCAAGTGCTGGAAAATTCAGAAAAAGGGAGTTCTCTCGCTTTTTATAAAGGGCCAGGACGAACCCCCACCATCAGATCGAAGCTCATTCAATCTGGATCCTTCATTTTAAATCAAATTCGAGGCGTAGAATTCAAATGATTTTTCAAACCTACGCCTCAGATTTAAGCGTGTCTCCCACGCACCTCATCCAACGCGTCTACTTCTAGAAGCTCCAGCTGTTCTAATAATTACGATTTTAATTTGATGGCAGCAGACGCTTTGGAAGTTGCAATGGTTCAGCCAACTTTCCTCGAAAACATGTGCAAAACATCAAATCATTGGCACAACTACCAAGGAACAATTATTGTCAATGAACATCGGCTTCATCTTCAACATTTAGCCATCAAGCCTCCCAGGTTCGGTTTCCCAACAACCTCAGCTTCATCTTCAACATTCAGCAATCAAGTTTCGCTGGTTCGGTTTCCCAACCACCTCGACTCATCTTCATCTTTCAGTTCTCACAAGCCTCGCACATTCAGTTCATTCCACCACCTCGGCTTCTTCACCATTCACCCACAACAGCACATTTCTAACTCCAACCATAATATAAATATCTATACTTGGATTTGGAGGACCATTATTTGGGGTTCAAAAATTCTTTTCAATTTTTACCAACCCACTGGCTTTACTTCATTAAACTCCACGCATTACATAAATGACTATACTTGGACTTGGGGGACTATTGTTACGTGTTGTCATACTTGGTCAACCTACTTGGGCCTATGGCCCATTCAATCCGAACCACGTGGCGCTCTAGCCGAGGTGGCATGTCTGACCGAGGCCCATATACCGAGGCCTATGAAAGTGGCAGAAGCCCTGAATCCGAAGCCAAAGCAGAAGCCTCCGAACCATGAAAGAACGTCTTCCATGATCACTTCTCTCAAAAGATCTTTTACATAAAGATCTTGTCTGAATAATTGATAGTTCATGCCGAGGCCCATATACCGAGGCCTGTGAAAGTGGCAGAAGCTCTGAATTCGAAGCCAAAGCAGAAGCCTCCGAACCATGAAGGAACGTCTTCCATGATCACTTCTCTCAAAAGATCTTTTACATAAAGATCTTGTCTGAATAATTGATAGTTCATGCCGAGGCCCATATACCGAGGCCTGTGAAAGTGGCAGAAGCTCTGAATTCGAAGCCAAAGCAGAAGCCTCCGAACCATGAAAGAACGTCTTCCATGATCACTTCTCTCAAAAGATCTTTTACATAAAGATCTTGTCTGAATAATTGATAGTTCATGCCGAGGCCCATATACCGAGGCCTGTGAAAGTGGCAGAAGCTCTGAATTCGAAGCCAAAGCAGAAGCCTCCGAACCATGAAGGAACGTCTTCCATGATCACTTCTCCCAAGAGATCTTCTACATAAAGATCTTGTCTGAATGATTGATAGAACGTTTGTCATAAGTGTACATGTCAAGTCTTGTCACTAGCATGGGGGCTCTGCATAAGCAATAAATGCGCAGCAAGCTAACAAGTCAAGGATGATGCCTAAAATTAGATGTTTGGATTAAAGAGATGAGGCCACGTACTACCTCATCTAAGGACTGTCATTTCACATGTACCACTATAAATACTTCCCTCGTGTAACATTAAAGGACTAATGCAAGAATCAATACAAGAAATCACATTTTACTCTCTCTTTCACATTGTCTTACAACACAATACGAATTCATACATGTTTACATACACATTCATGAGCACCGATTGGTAATTATTGTACAATCGGATTACGAACATACCGTCGAATTCCTAACGTTCTCGTCCCACGTCGTTGAACTACTCTCACGCCCCTGATCTATTCGTTTTAGACTGTCCACGTGTCTTAGCATCTAGGACTTTCGCTCACGTGTGTGCGAGTGAGTTCGGTATCTATTGGCAACATTTTTTGGGGTCAACAATATTCGATCTATATAATTACTTCCATTGACAAGTGACTATATATGTGCAACATCGATTAGTGAGAAAAATAATTCATAGATCAACTTGAAAATTTTGCACAAACTTCCTTGACCATTTGTTTATTGTCTAAACTTCATTGTCTAAATTGAAATTACTTCAATATAAGATTCCAAGGTGCAATCGACGCCTCGCAGCCGTGATTTGCCGCCATGGATCCACAGAGCCCAACCTCTTCTCTACAACGACTCCAAATTGTTGAAAAGGTAATTTCTATAAAATCTCTGTAGAAACAAGACCTTAACTTTACCCCAATTAATTGCTTAATTTCAATTTAGAATCAAGTGTTTTTTTTTTTTTTTTTAAAATTAATCTCAGAGAATAGTAAGGGTGTTGGAACTAGCTGGAGGATTGATGGATGAAATGGCAAGCCCGAGCGGTCCCAGAAAGGAACTTGTTAACAAGCAATGTAGTGAGTTCATGCAATTGATCAAGGTCCTTAAATAATCTTGATTTCATTTGATGAATTACCCGTTTATTTTTTAGTTTGTATATACCCGTTTCAATTTCCGCTTGAAAAAGGTTTTAGGGTTTTTAGTTTACTTCATTTGTGGGGTTTTATTGAATGGAGATATTATAGGTTTATTTGTTTCGCGTGTTTTGTGATAGGACATTCAGATGACCCTGCGAGAGGAAATCAAAAGTGCTTGTGAGTATCGTCCATTTGAGAAGTGTGACTATGTTCCAAGAATATCTAACGAGATTTGTTATAAGAAACTGGAATATGTTATTGCTCAATTGGATGAGATGAAGCAAACAATTGAGGGATATCATAATGCAGCTTGAGGGCACACAATGTACAATATTTTTTTTTTGTTGGAGGCAATTGGAGAATCGCTTAGTATTAGATATTCATAGAACATTGATGTTTTGAGGAGAATTGTGAGAAATTATGATTCGTATTACTGTTTTTGTATGACTGATGATGTGTTTGCTTTTCTTTTTAGAGCAGTACATGGTTTTTTAATTTCTATACCTCCATTCTCTTTACTCTGAGTTCCCTTGGACCTTGGTAGCAAGATATTCTGGATTTTCCAAGTAATGTTTATGAACTCCTAAATTTTAGATAGATCTTTTACTAGCTAAAGGTCAATATTTTATGCTGTAATGCATATTTTGAGTCCATTGGATACACATATATATTGACTTGCTTGGAAACAAGCAACCCTTGCCATAGATGCCATCTTGTGGAAGTGATACTCTACCAGGTTTCCTCTTTTCTTATGAGGGTAATTATGCTGTCTAGATATTGGTGATTGGATTGATATTGTAGAACCAGCTATATCTTATCATGACGTCTTATATTTTGAAAGGATGCTTGGATCATCTGTCCATTTGATGCTTTCTAATCTGCAGTAATCATTATTGTTATATTAGTTTGCATGGAGTTATTTTAGTTTTTTGGGATGTGAAACTCAACTGAGAATTTGTTGCTCGTGCTGTAATTATCTAGGTTTTTTTTTTTTTTTTTCCTTTTATTTAAAAAATATGGTGCTTCTATGGCTATTTATTACATATGTCATTGAAATTTATATCATGGAGAAAGTGAGAATTCTTTTCCTGAAAATTTCTTTTTTAATTACTCTGTGTTATTTGTGCTTTTAAAAAAGTAGAGTAACTTTAATCTAGCTAACTATAATATATCTGAAAAAGGAGATATCTTTTTTTTTTTTTTTAAATAGTGTTGCTATCTGTTTATAACTTCATCCATCTCTTAAAATTTGTTTGAGGCCTCATTTTGGGGGGGAAAATGTGTTTTTGAATAGTTATTTTTGGAGAATATGTGGTTGAAAAATAAGAAAATGTTTTCGGTTTATGTGTCAAATTATTCTCCAATAAAATAATTGGTTGAAAATGCGTTTTGAAAAAAATGAGTTTTTGATAAAATGGGACTCAAACAAGGGCTTAGTTTATTCAGTGATACCATAGGTTTTGGATTCTTGTTCTGAAAATGCTAACTATTTTTGTTTTTTATCATAATAAAACTCACCTGTTTACGGAATAATTCGGATTACTGCTGATCACCATCTACTTCAATTTATTCTTGGTTTCTTTTATCTGCTTCCTAATTTTACCCGCGGGAAGAAGAAACTATTTTGTTCCTTTGATGTCGACCTACGTATATTGCCTTTCCATTTGCAACATCCAAAAACTTTTCAGAATATATTGTCTCTTGCTCTTTCATGAATTTCCCATTGTAATTTTGGACTTTGATTCTGTCATTTTTTCAAACTGTTCTACATAGGCTTTGCTGATTCCATTTGTTATGAAACTTTGATTTATTGAATGGTTCGTATGTATTAACCTTCAATGTTCCTGTAACCTTTTTCTAAAAATCCATAGAATTGTTTTCTTCTTGATCATGTTCGTGCTGTTTCAATGGAAATTTCTGCTAGTTCTTCCATTCCTTGTTAGATATCTTTGTTCATTTTCTAAAATGTGGGTCTGCTTCTGTTGCAGGCTTACTGTTTTATGAGATACACCCATACAAGTATCATAAATGTGTCCAATAAAATTTCAGGCTTAAATATACTTTGTTTTAATTGAATTGCATACACTATAAAACAGCAGTCACCCAGTTTTATTTGCATTTTGTATTCTGGCGACTATTTCTTCATCTGTTCTAAATTATGAAAATACTGACATAAATATATTTGTCTGTTAGAATATACCTGTCTAGTTGCTATTAGACTTACTAAAACGGGTATATTTTACTGTTATGGTTGTTGTAAGTCATCATATTAGCGGAATCAACTGGACTAGGACACCAACCTCATCCTTCGCAAATCCAGACTGCCGTGTGATCCAATACATAGTTATGACTGCAATTTTTTTTAGGGCCAGGCTGCTCAATAACATCACGAGTGTCTGGGAAAGGGTTGGCTGTCACCAACATCATATTCCTCTGTCTTCCTCATCGTTGTGTACTCTGTTGGATGTTGTGCATTAAAAAACATGTACAACTGTGGGTGTAAACCACGCCCATGAGATAGAGAAGCATCTAGAGAGGTATTTCATATTTGTACTCTACTGATTTGTTTTACTTATTTCACATGGTCCTACCGCTTTCTTATGCATTTCAACTGTGGCCTTTTGTTCTTCAGATTGAATCAATTCAACTGCTAGATTAGCTTATCATCATAAGTTGCTTTTTCCCGTCTTCTTGTTTAGTGCCTGTTCAAATTTGGTATTATTGTGTATCTGTGGGGGAGCTGGAGAAGAGGATGTAGGAAAAGCAATTATGTCAAAGATAGTGCATGTAATAGCGATACCAATTTCTCTTAGAAATCTTGAGGTGAAGTATGTTAGGGAAGATACTCGAGATGGAGAAATGGTGCTCGTTGGCTATGCTATACTAGCAGATATGAACTTTTGATAAAAATTCATTTATTTAGATTTGTGTTCAACAGAACCCTCTCAATATTTTTGCGGATATTCATGAACTAAAAGGCATATTGAGAAACCTAAAATCCCACTACTTTTTCTTAATCAATGTGAACAATACATTCTACAAGTCAATAAAGTAGCTAGGGATGTACAAAACTATAAGTTCTGTTTATTCTTGTACTGATCCATCATATGTTATCCCCACTGTACGGTGATTTGTCTGAAAGAAGAGGTTCCTCCAAATCAATTCTACAGCTCGTTTCATCTGAAGATTCACTAGACAGTGGTTTCTGATTGCTTCGCTTCTTTATCTGACTAGGGTCAACGTTCATTGACTCTTCATTCTCTTTTGCTTTGCCCCATAGTACGACATATAATCCAACAATCACAGCAAGTGAACCTACCAAACTGATATGAGAAGATACCCATTAGACCGATAAGATTAACGATATATAGGATGTTTGGTCGAGAGAACTGAATAGTGCTAGACGGTACCAAGAAAGAAAAATGAACTAAATTTTTGTTCATTTTTTATGGTAATACCTTCCAGTGAACATCTCTTCATGTAGAAATGCACAAGCCAAAACAGTCACTATAACTGTTAATAGAGGATTGAACATGGCAGAAAATAGTGGACCTCTTTGTGCAATGCACCAGGCTTGAGCAAAGAAGGTAACAGCTGATGATACACCCTGCGTTTCCAAATTAAGAGTTATCTATGTTTTAACACCCTTTATTTCATTGCAAGAGAACAGATTTTAGCGACCGATTTTTCATATCGGATTCTTTGATAATACGAGTGAAAAATATATATATATATATATATAGCTTGCTACTCACTGCATACAAGCAGCAAAGAAATTCGAGATACGAATTCAGTCGCCAAACTTTCATATCGGGTTCCAAGATCAACGTAACGACTGCAGATTGCAATGCTGCAAAGAGGCACATCCATGCGGTTAAAGATAGATGATCCGGGTAGTTAGCTGATACAGGGACCTGTAAACAAATTATTCAAGAAAAGAAAAACAATTGAAAATCATTGGGAAATTATAAAATATGTACAAATCTTGTGATTGAATACCTGTAAAATTAACCAAAGTGACCAGCAACAAGAGCTTCCAAAGAGAAATAAACAACCGAGCAACCAATTCTCACCTCCTTGGCTCATAATTGGCAGAAACTCTTTGTTGAGTAGCTTTGGACCTTTCAGCAGAGCCATGGCTACAGCACCTGTAACGCAGATTATCGTGCCAATGATCTTCGCCATACTTCTCAAGCTTCGATTATGCAATTTCTCTAACCTGATGTGAACGGAGTACGCTTACTATCCCTCTTTATAAATCGATTTATAAATTTGTCAAACGGAGGTTAAGTGTGGGGGGAAAATGTGTTTTTGAATAGTTATTTTTGGAGAATATGTGGTTGAAAAATAAGAAAATGTTTTCGGTTTATGTGTCAAATTATTCTCCAATAAAATAATTGGTTGAAAATGCGTTTTGAAAAAAATGAGTTTTTGATAAAATGGGACTCAAACAAGGGCTTAGTTTATTCCGTGATACCATAGGTTTTGGATTCTTGTTCTGAAAATGCTAACTATTTTTGTTTTTTATCATAATAAAACTCACCTGTTTACGGAATAATTCGGATTACTGCTGATCACCATCTACTTCAATTTATTCTTGGTTTCTTTTATCTGCTTCCTAATTTTACCCGCGGGAAGAAGAAACTATTTTGTTCCTTTGATGTCGACCTACGTATATTGCCTTTCCATTTGCAACATCCAAAAACTTTTCAGAATATATTGTCTCTTGCTCTTTCATGAATTTCCCATTGTAATTTTGGACTTTGATTCTGTCATTTTTTCAAACTGTTCTACATAGGCTTTGCTGATTCCATTTGTTATGAAACTTTGATTTATTGAATGGTTCGTATGTATTAACCTTCAATGTTCCTGTAACCTTTTTCTAAAAATCCATAGAATTGTTTTCTTCTTGATCATGTTCGTGCTGTTTCAATGGAAATTTCTGCTAGTTCTTCCATTCCTTGTTAGATATCTTTGTTCATTTTCTAAAATGTGGGTCTGCTTCTGTTGCAGGCTTACTGTTTTATGAGATACACCCATACAAGTATCATAAATGTGTCCAATAAAATTTCAGGCTTAAATATACTTTGTTTTAATTGAATTGCACACACTATAAAACAGCGGTCACCCAGTTTTATTTGCATTTTGTATTCTGGCGACTATTTCTTCATCTGTTCTAAATTATGAAAATACTGACATAAATATATTTGTCTGTTAGAATATACCTGTCTAGTTGCTATTAGACTTACTAAAATGGCTATATTTTACTGTTATGGTTGTTGTAAGTTATCATATTAGCGGAATCAACTGGACTAGGACACCAACCTCATCCTTGCAGATCCAGACTGCTGTGTGATCCGAAAGCATAGTGTTATGACTGCAATTTTTTTAAGGCCGGGCTGCTCGATAACATCACGAGTGTTTGGGAAAGGGTTGGCTGTCACCAACATCATATTCCTCTGTCTTCCTCATCGTTGTGTACTCTGTTAGATGTTGTGCATTAAAAAACATGTACAACTGTGGATGTAAACTACGCCCATGAGATAGAGAAGCATCTAGAGAGGTATTTCATATTTGTACTCTACTGATTTGTTTCACTCATTTCACATGGTCCTACCGCTTTCTTATGCATTGCAAGTGTGGCCTTTTGTTCTTCAGATTGAATCAATTCAAATGCTAGATTAGCTTATCATCATAAGTTGTTTTTTCCCGTCTTCTTGTTTTGTGCCTGTTCAAATTTGGTATTATTGTGCATCTGTGGGGGAGCTGGAGAAGAGGATGTAGGAAAAGCAATCATGTCAAAGATAGTGCATGTAATATCGATACCAATTTCTCTTAGAAATCTTGAGGTGAAGTATGTTAGGGAAGATACTCGAGATGGAGAAAATGGTGCTCGTTGGCTATGCTATACTAGCAGATATGAACTTTTGATAAAAATTCATTTATTTAGATTTGTGTTCAACAGAACCCTCTCGATATTTTTGCGGATAAAGGCATATTGAGAAACCTAAAATCCCACTACTTTTTCTTAATCAATGTGAACAATACATTCTACAAGTCAATAAAGTAGCTAGGGATGTACAAAACTTTAAGTTCTGTTTATTCTTGTACTGATCCATCATATGTTATCCCCACTGTACGGTGATTTGTCTGAAAGAAGAGGTTCCTCCAAATCAATTCTACAGCTTGTTTCATCTGAAGATTCACTAGACAGTGGTTTCTGATTGCTTTGCTGCTTTATCTGACTAGGGTCAACGTTCATCAACTCTTCATTCTCTTTTGCTTTGCCCCATAGTACGACATATAATCCAACAATCACAGCAAGTGAACCTACCAAACTGATATGAGAAGATACCCATTAGACCGATAAGATTAACAATATATAGGATGTTTGGTCGAGAAAACTGAATAGTGCTAGACGGTACTAAGAAAGAAAAATGAACTAGATTTTTGTTCATTTTTTATGGTAATACCTTCCAGTGAACATCTCTTCATGTAGAAATGCACAAGCCAAAACAGTCACTACAACTGTTAATAGAGGATTGAACATGGCAGAAAATAGTGGACCTCTTTGTGCAATGCACCAGGCTTGAGCAAAGAAGGTAACAGCTGATGATACACCCTGCGTTTCCAAATTAAGAGTTATCTATGTTTTAACACCCTTTATTTCATTGCAAGAGACCAGATTTTAGTGATGGATTTTTCATATCGGATTCTTCGATAATACGAGTGAAAATCGATATATATATATATATATATATATATATATATAAAATAGCTTGCTACTCACTGCATACAAGCAGCAAAGGAATTCGAGATACGAATTCAGTCGCCAAACTTTCATATCGGGTTCCAAGATCAACGTAACGACTGCAGATTGCAATGCTGCAAAGAGGCACATCCATGCAGTTAAAGATAGATGATCCGGGTAGCTAGCTGATACAGGGACCTGTGAACAAATTATTCAAGAAAAGAAAAACAATTGAAAATCATTGGGAAATTATAAAATATGTACAAATCTTGTGATTGAATACCTGTAAAATTAACCAAAGTGACCAGCAACAAGAGCTTCCAAAGAGAAATAAACAACCGAGCAACCAATTCTCACCTCCTTGGCTCATAATTGGCAGAAACTCTTTGTTGAGTAGCTTTGGACCTTTCAGCAGAGCCATGGCTACGGCACCTGTAACGCAGATTATCGTGCCAATGATCTTCGCCATACTTCTCAAGCTTCGAATATGCAATTTCTCTAACCTGATGTGAATGGAGTACGTTTACTATATCTCTTTATAAACTGATTTATAAATTTGTCAAATGGATGCTAAGGGTCCGGTTGGTTTCCATTTTCATTTTCAAAACGATTTTTAGTTTTCCCTGAAAACGGCCCATTTTTCGCGTTTTGAGCGTTTTCGACATTTATAATTGAAAACGATAAAAAGTTGTTTTGCGTTTTTAGTTATAAATTTTTACTCGTTTTCGAAAATGCGTTTTCGAAAATGACGGACCAAATGCGTTTTCCCCGTTTTCAAAAACGGAAAACGGAAAATGGGCCGAAAACGGCAAACCAACCACAACTTAAATGTTTATAATTAATTGTTATTTAAGTATATACCCCATGATGTAGGCCAGGAGAAAGGTGACAGCAGGTACCAAATTCCCCAATGCACCTGCAACTGATGATGAGGATAGATACAAACCTTGGAAATAGACATTCTGGTTTATTGTCACACTGCAATAAGAATGTAAAAAGAGAGCTTAATTACTAATGTCACCGAATTTTTATATATACATGCAACAAATAACATATGGAGAAGTGACTTGCCCAATAAGAGAGAGTAAAAATATCATCCAGAAGCTCTTCCATCCTATACAACATCTCGTTTTTCTCCTACATAAAAGGAAAAAATCATAACAATTTACATGTATCATTTTATGCATATGGTACACCAGCTGAAAACAAGGATATCAGTTTTGGGTTGGAATATAATCATACTGTATACTTATCCCATATTACCATATAAATATGTAACAGGCTGCCTAATATTCTTAGTTCTCGCTTGGTTTAACTAAAAATCAGATTTTTAGTAGATCTTATAAAAGTTGATGAAGTGTGTTTTTGAAAAGTTAATAAAAGTCGCGGGGTTCACAAAATGTGTCATTGAAAATGAGTTTGAAGAAAAATGAGTTTTAGAGAATATGGGGCCAAACATAGGCTAAGGATTTCAGTTGAGCAATGTTGTTTGGTGTGGATTGTATAAGATTTCTTATCTTCTTCGTCATACTAAAAAATTGTAGTTGACGACATGCTTAACTGTCACATTAAGAGTGAATTACTATAAAAACTGTGTGTTTTGTTTATTTTATTTTATTTTTGTTTATCATCGCTTCGTACTAGGATTAGGGGCTTAATCAGTAATATCCATGTTCAACTATCTCATTCAAAATTTTAAACTTGTAAGAAAGCTGGCTCATATATATGCGTGCACTATGCTTGTTTTATAATCTTATTTTGAAAGCTGCTACATGTACACTTTAGTGTACAAGTGGAATTACCCTTTTCTTTTTGTTTATCATTTCTCCTTTTTCTCGGGATTAAAAGGTTTAATCAATAAAAACCATGTTCGACCATTTCCTCAAAACGTCCAATGAAATTCTCCCTATCTTCTTGCACTCCGTGAAGAAACAATGATCATGCTAAATCCCTTGAAGAAATGATGATAAAAGATAGCTAAGCCATGAAAACTCTTAACGTCATGCATAATCTTAGGTCTACTAACCAATAATGGCCTGAATCTTTACGGGATCATGAGTACATACTCTCATAGTAGATACAATGAATCCTAGTAAAATAACTCTATCAGCAAAGAAAGAACATTCCTTTACGTTAGCATACACGCTTGTTGCACGAAGTGTAGAACAAACCTATGTGAGATGATCTCGATGTTGCTTCCTAGTTTTATTGTACAAAAAAATGTCATAAAAATAGACAACAATGAATTTACCCATGAATGGTAAAAAAGGGGTAGTATCATCTCCCTCATAAAGGTACTTGGAGCATTTGGTTAGTTAAAAGGCATGATCAACCACTTATAAATTAAGCGTGTGTTTGGCCCCCATTCTTGCCAATTTTTTCCAACTTTTTTTTCAAAAAACAGGGCCCTATGTCAGACAGCAAGGACAGGGTCCCTTACAAAAACTGATGTCACTTGCGAAGATGTTGTCAGTTGAGTAAGAAAATTCTTTTCTTTCCGTTTCTACCCTTTTCAATTGATTGTTGAATATTGGTAGAATTAAAAATAGTGGAGGGCAAAGATGTACATTTCAAATGCATCATAGGGCAATTTAGTCGTTTAGGCTCCAAGGCATTATTCTTTCCCTGTCCATCGTTGACAAAAATCATGTGTAATGTAACGTGTTATTAGCTAGTTACTGTAGGAAAATGAGATGAGTGAAAATATATATATATATATATATATATATATATATATATATATATATATATATATAAAATAGCTTGCTACTCACTGCATACAAGCAGCAAAGGAATTCGAGATACGAATTCAGTCGCCAAACTTTCATATCGGGTTCCAAGATCAACGTAACGACTGCAGATTGCAATGCTGCAAAGAGGCACATCCATGCGGTTAAAGATAGATGATCCGGGTAGTTAGCTGATACAGGGACCTGTAAACAAATTATTCAAGAAAAGAAAAACAATTGAAAATCATTGGGAAATTATAAAATATGTATAAATCTTGTGATTGAATACCTGTAAAATTAACCAAAGTGACCAGCAACAAGAGCTTCCAAAGAGAAATAAACAACCGAGCAACCAATTCTCACCTCCTTGGCTCATAATTGGCAGAAACTCTTTGTTGAGTAGCTTTGGACCTTTCAGCAGAGCCATGGCTACAGCACCTGTAACGCAGATTATCGTGCCAATGATCTTCGCCATACTTCTCAAGCTTCGATTATGCAATTTCTCTAACCTGATGTGAACGGAGTACGCTTACTATCCCTCTTTATAAATCGATTTATAAATTTGTCAAACGGAGGTTAAGTGTTGATAATTAATCGTTATTTAAGTATATACCCCATGATGTAGGCCAGAAGAAAGGTGACAGCAGGTACCAAATTTCCCAATGCACCCGCAACGGATGATGAGGCTAGATACAAACCCTGGAAATAGACATTCTGGTTTATTGTCACACTGCAATGAGATGTAAAAAGAGAGCTTAATTACTAATGTCACCGAATCTACATATATACATGAACAAATAACGTATGGAGTAGTGACTTGCCCAATAAGAGAGAGTAAAAATATCATCCAGAAGCTCTTCCATCCTATACAACATCTCGTTTTTCTCCTGCGTAAATGGAAAAAATCATAACAATTTACACGTATCATTTTATGTATATGGTAACCCGCTGAAAACAAGGATATCAGTTGTGGGTTGGAATATAATCATACTGTATACTTATCCCATATAAGTATGTAACAGGCCGCCTAATATTCTTAGTCCTCGTTTGGTTTAGCTAAAAATCAGATTTTTAGTAAATCTTATAAAAGTTGATGAAGTGTGTGGCCGAAAAGTGAATAAAAGTCGTGGGTTTCACTAAATGTGTCATTGAAAATGAGTTTGAAGAAAAATGAGTTTTAGAGAATAGGGGGCCAAACATAGGCTAAGGATTTCAGTTGAGCAGTGTTGTTTGGTGTGGATTGTATGAGATTTCTTATCTTCTTCGTCATACTAAAAATTTGTAATTGATGACATGCTTAACTGTCACATTAAGAGAGAATTACTATAAAAACTGTGTGTTTTGTTTATTTTATTTTATTTTTGTTTATCATAGCTTCGTTCTAGTATTGGAGGGCTTAATCAGTAATATCCATGTTCAACTATCTCATTCAAAATTTTAAACTTGTAAGAAAGCTGGCTCATATGTATGCGTGCACTATGCTTGTTTTATAATCTTATTTTGAAAGCTGCTACATGTACACTCTAGCGTACAAATGGAATTACCCTTTTCTTTTTGTTTATCATTTCTCGTAGCTCTCCGGATTAAAAGGTTTAATCAATAAAAACCATGTTCGACCATTTCATCAAAACTTTATACTTGGCGACGTTCTTATGATCAAATTTCATGGCCTTAAGAAAAAAAAAAAGAAAAAAGAATTCTGGCTGTGTACCTTGTGAAATAAGCTATTGGAGCAATGACAGAGAAGGCAATGGATTGCCTATATACGACAAACACCCTTGAACTCATATCATGTACAAGAGCAGCTCTAGTGAAGAGGGTTACTCCTGCATATATGAATTGCAATGCAACCATTACAATTGCTGGCTTGTAATCTTCTAAACCCATATTTGCACAAATTAATGTATGCTTTGAAAATGTTATGACCCTCTTTATTTATAAACCACCAAACACACTCATAATTGGAATTATTTAATGACAACAATAATTTACTGGCAGGCTGATGGGTGCCAGCTTCTTAGAAATAACAAGTTTGGAAGTATATGTAACATGGTATCGTGATTTTTCTGGTACAGTACGTGACCAGTGATCATTTTATTTTGTTTTTAATTAAGTCTGTGTATGTAATCTTGAATCGAGAATATACATGTATAATTTTATGGACGATTCGAATTTTTTAGGCCGCGTAGAAAGCATTATAGAGTCGTACTACACACTTATTCCTTGATTACTTGCTTGGAAGATTTGGGGTGGAGACTTTGATTCTAATTTTTTATTGGCGTATATTGAGTATTCTACACACGTATCAAGTCGCGCTAACATTCTTTCTATGTAAAAGACTTTTAGAAACCGTTTGATAGGCCAAAATTTTCTGGGGAAAGTGGAAAATCAATTCCAATTTTGAGTTTTAAGAGTGTTTGATACCATTTTTTTTTTCCATGGAATTACATTTTCTAACTTTTCTTGTGAATTAAAGTTTTCTTTATTTTGAAGGAAAATCAATTCTCACTAATATGGTGGGAATTTGTTTTCCCGATTTACTGTAGCACCTTTTTTTTCATTTTTTTTTGTTTGCAGTGCAAACAAATTCTAAGATTTATTGTAAAAAAATATTTTCCTTTAATTAACAATTTTCATGTAAAACAAAGTTAAATGAACACCCAAATATAGATAATTTTCTTGATTTATTTTATTTTATTTTATTTTATTTTTGGTTTTGGCAATGAAAACAAATTTCATTCCTAATACTAGTAAATTTTATCCCTTTAATCGACAATTTTCATGTAAAACAAAGTCAAATGGACACCAAAAACACTTTAATTTAAACATTTTTCACGCGAAAAATTATACTAATCAAACACAATAATTTATAGTTTTCAGGAAAACAATTTCCCATCAATTCAATTCCCTGAAATTCGTTTTCTTTTCATTCAAATTCTACATTTGCAATCAAACGAACCCTTATTTTATTTATATGGAGGCCTTTTTTTGTGAGAGACGTTTGATATCCTTTTTACACTTTTTTATTATGGTGAAGAACCTATGGTGGCGAGGAGATTAAAGAATCTGCGCTTTCCGTGTCTAAATTCATTTTGTTGGGCTTGACCCATTAAATATAATCCATGTTTATCTATCATCAAAGTAGAAAAATGAATTTTAAAATAATGAATTTTTGAGAACGTGCAATGAAAAGTAGGAAAAATTTAGAGTTTACGTGCCCAATAATATTTTATTGTAAGAATGGATAGTTAAAAATGAGTTTGAAAAAAAAGGTTTTGAAATATAATAGGGAAACATGGGCATAATGATTTAGTTTGTGTCTAATTTTACACAAAATGTACGAGTAATGTTATTGAGGTCTGCTAGTACTAAGCACAAATTTAACCCTTGTTTGAATTCCATTTTTTTCATCAAAATATATTCTTCTACAGTGATTTGAACTCACTTTAATCCTATATTTATAAATAAAATAATATTATACACAAAATTTAAAAAATTTCTTTATTTTTTAACCGCACGTTTTTCATCAATACACTATTAAAAAATACATTTATTTATTTATTAATATTATTATTATTTTTTGACAAATATGAGATCAAACAAGGTTATGGCATTAGGGTCCATTTTCTCATTTTCTAGCAAGCGGACCCCACTTCTAGTAGTGAAAGATAGTGAACTGAATCCCCACTATGAGTGGTGCTAAGCACAAACCTAGATGTCATGGAGTCTGGTTGTTATATCATTTTCCAATGGGAAAATTACAGCAACAATCCATAACTTTTTTCATTTTTTACAGACTTTACTGTAATCTTCATTTTGTGCCAACGAAGGTTTCTAACCTTTCATAAATATGCATCTGAGATTCATCTGGATGGAAATAATCCAAAACACAGTCAATTGACCGAAAAAATTCTTTGAACTATCTGATATCGTGACGGTTTTAATGGATGTTGATACCTTTTTTATCAGTGTTTTTGGACGATTTTATTGGATGTTGATTCATTAATTTTTTCGGTCAAGTGACGGTGTCGGTGTTTTGGATGGTTTCTGTCCAAATGGACCTCAAGTGCATATTTATGAAAGGTTACGAACCTTCGTTGACATAAAATGAAGGTTAGAGTAAAACCTGCG